ACTACCACCATTGTAAACGTGTGCCAAAACACACACACACATTTTCTTTCTAGCCACGTGTTCAACGTCATGTTCACATATGGATATAATCTCCAATTACCATTCTTTTATTTCTCTGATTACAGTATACAGGCCTTATGTGCATTTTCGTTTCTCCCCTATGTAATCGCAACTCACATTCCTCTCATTCCATTGTCACAGGCGTGGTCATTCGTACATTCCACAAAGGTAGTTATCATGCTCAACATGCACGTTAATTGTTTTTCCCATCGCGTCGTTCTTGTTGTGGCACCCACCAGGACAAAGTAGAGCTTCATACTTTCACCCGCCTTATGTCATTCATTAGGGACAATAATAATTATGCTACACTTAGGAATAACATGTATTTCAAATGACGAAGGTGAGAGGTAACACAGTGGTATTCTTGTCGACTAATAAATGTGCATTGACCTAGTCACTTGAGTGTACGCTGGTTGGCTATTCTACTCATACATAACCTGCCATAGAGTTTTCTGTCAATCACTGGAAAACTGCAGTAATCTGTAGTTCTGTGGTTGGAAGCTAGGTGAATATCGATCTATCATTATTTATTTTGAGCAGAAAAATACATCTTTATTACATAACAGTAAAACTATCGTATATTGGCATTGCATGAGGAGTTTAACAGCAAGATGTTCTAACACTTTATAACTTCCTAGGTTGATCCAACAGACTTTGCAAAGAAAATGCTTGACTGGGCACACCATGGTTTTCCGGAGCTTGGTGACACTGGGGGTATGGGTATAGAAAATACAACATATCAAGTTCTTACTCACAATGCGTTTAAAGGACCTAAACCACACAAGGTTAATTTATTTATTTACAATACTATATAATTTTATTGCATGACAATATACTTATGTATAGTATGGTACATAATAAAATGTTATTGTAATCATTGTTAATACAACCCTTATGGTAGCGGGGACTCACAAATTTAAGTACAACATAATGAAATATAATGCCATTATTAGACAAAATTTGATAGTGCTATCAATAATGACTTTTGACTTAAAATGCAGTCATATTTTTTCCTAGATGATATAGAAAGATTGCTAATGTGCGTGTTAAATATTCTACAGGTTCAGTTTCAGTCAAATCTATACATTTTATTGCAATTATTAACTTGTTTTGTCAGTGTTCACAAGACCCGGGACGTTAGTAACAAATCCAGGGGAAACATATTGTAGCTGGTGGAGAAATCACTAATCCAAAAAAGAGTATTTCATTTATCAGCAAACCAGTGTGAATGTCATTTTCTATATATTTACGCATGTGCATAGTATGTTGTTGTTTCTTGAATTTATATTTTTTATTCAAAGGCAGCAGAAGCTGTATGGAAATCTAGTGGATGTTTTCTGGCAACCAATGGTGCTGTTATGAGGACCTCCATACTTGGCATTCATAACTTTGATGATAAGGAAACAGTTGTCAATAATACAAAAAAGATTTGTAAAACAACTCATGCTGATTCGAGGTATGATTAAAGTTAATCAAAAAGTGATAATTAAGTCTGAAATAAATCAGTCCTGGTCTCAGGAATTTTGTTTTAAAAGATGTATCCTTAAAGGATTTTCTTCATTAAAAATATTAAATAATAGTTGCAAAGATAGTATAGTCAGCCATTGAAAGAAACATTGTGGCAAAAATTGGTGTTTAAGTAAGTTTTGCTGAGCCCCTCTTAATGGTTTCAGTTATATATTTTAATTAGCGTATGCTAATTTATGGATTATGTAATGGCATATAGTCAAAATATTGAACAATTTGGTTAATACTATTATGCTGGGTAAGATATCTAGCCCTTTGAAATGAAGAACATACACTACACAAGCATTCATTTGTAGTGCTATTTAATTTCATTATTTTGATATTTGATCAAATTCACTGGGTTTTAAATTTCCAAGGAAAATTTAAAATTGTAATTATACACGCTTATGTGGATTTAATTTAATAGTGGATTTCATTTTTTCAACAAAATAAGAAAATTAGGTTTTATGTTAAAACCAGACATATAATTGTTTTATCGTCACAGATGTGCCGCATCATGCGTAGCCGTAACATCAGCAATAGCAATGATGTTAAAAGGTGACCGACATAGAGGTTTAAATGGTGAAGTTGTTGCTGGAGGGATAATTGAAGATGCCTTTCATGAAGCTAAAAAATGTCTTTCTACCAATACAGAGGTAAAAAACTAATAATATATTCTCATGATTTGGTTGTAACATATATATATATATATATATATATATATATATACAATTAAATATTGTTCAGGTTCAGTGTTTACATATTATATCTTTACTAAACATCAGTGTACCGGCATTTTTTTCATTCAGACTATTGAAATTAATTGAAAAAACTTCTTTTTACCCATATCTAATATAGAATGTTTTCAACCGTGCAAGTGTCAGTGAACTAGTACTGTCAAGTCTTGATTGGTGCATTTGTTCCAGAAACCAAATGGTGGCAATTTTAGTACTAACATCTTAGATACTGCAGGAGCCAAATCCCACTTGTGCATGGACGGGGTTTCAAATTTGTTTGGTTGCCTCGGGCAATCCCTTTTGCAATGGGACAAGCAAATCCTGAAACTTGTTGTCCAATGGGACAATCTTTACACAATTTTTTTTCAGAAATCGTGATTTTTATATGTAATATTCCACTGTATTTTCATTTTGAAGTACATTTCATGAGTTTATTTAATTTCACGGCTTGCATATTTCATTCAAACTTGATATGTTCCCTTGAACATATTTTTGATGCACATTTCAAAATGCCGTTTCTTTCCTTGACTGATCACATTCAAACTTAACATGTACACATGTACACTCAGATACACTAAGTCACGCATATGCACTTATATAAGATAATTAAGGCATGGGTACATAACACCACTATACTGATGTTATCTACCATCATACTAATCACAACAATTCAATTGACGCATTTGAATAAGTCTTTAGGTTTATGTTTTGGTGATTTTTTGGCTGCATTTCAACCTTTCTTAGTTAAGAGTCAGATTTATGTTATATATAGTCACTGACACATATTCAAGAATAAATGGGTAAACTCCGAGTTGACAATGAGATGTTATCATCATGTGTCAAATACTTCTTCAATGCTCAGTTTGTCAACATTATAACTATTTGGCGAACAAATCCTTATTATGCATAATAAAAATAATTTTTTCGAATTATTTAATCATTAGTTGTGTATTATTTATTTTCAGATAAATGAACTACATTGGTATATGAATGTAGAGAAAATAGATGAGCTAAAATTAGATGAGTCTGCTAAGATTGGTTATACGTATAAGTGTCTTGGTGCTGCATTTTGGGCTTTCAAACAGAATGATTTCAGACAAGCACTGACAACAATTGTCAGGGAGGTTAGTATATTGTAACAAAAACAGATTCTACCTTAGTTGCAACCTTAGGTCATGGGAGGTTATTGTATTTCAAGGTTTCTAGACAGATAATCTAAAATAAGTTCGTTGTATTCACAGCTAGACTGGTGATGGGATTCAACATGATGTTCATTGGGTCAAATTATGCATTTAACGAGTCGTTTCTTTTTAAAACTTGGACCCCAGCTGTTGGACCCCAGACACCTCTGATGTGTCTTGTTCCCAAATTGAACCAAATCAATCAAAAAGGGTGCTGGCAATAGGGTGTATTTCATTGCAATATATTGATTCTGGTTCTGTGCAATTGTAGTATTCTAAGAATACAATTGCCAAAAAAATTTGCTGAGGCTTCATTGGTTGGTTTGGATCAAATGCATGTAACATGCATTTCTTTGTTGTATTTCATCCCAGTAGTTTATATTCAAGTTATGCAGTCAGATTTCCCTGTAAATTAAACTGCATTTGTCAAAGTGAAAGTATTATGTGGCTATAACTCCATAACATAAATAACATTGTTTACTTACCTTCCCATATTGCTTAATGGTATACATATTGATTTGTTTTACAGGCTGGTGATGCTGACACTAATGGTGCTGTTGCTGGTGCCCTATTGGGATGTAAACTGGGATTTCACAAATTACCCAAATCATGGACAGATGGTCTACTACACAAGAATTGGCTAGAAGCAAAGATAAAACAGTATGTACACAATTGTTTTAATGGTTTTAAATGTAAAATGGGTTCACTATTCAATGATATTGACCAGACGGCTTCTATGAAAAACTGATTTTAAAATAAACAGTTGTCCAATTTATTTATAGGCCAATTTTCATTATTCATTACCGCAGAAAATTAGAATCATCATCCTTGAAGCAGGTTAAATCTAGGTTATATCGCCACTGGATCACATCTTTGTGGTATTCTTGTGATTACTTCATAATAGTTGACTGCAACATTTTCGGAATAGTTATTCGGTCAAATGCCTTTGTATTAAATAATCATTTCTTTTACATGTTACAGATTTTTGGGGATAAAAATGGGATCACTTGTCAAACAAATGACGGAAACAACTGCTGAACAAGTTCCAGATTTAAAAAAATAAGCCTGATGAATCGAAACAATGAGAAAGAACGTCTCCACAAACCAAAACAAGTTTTACACCACACAAAGATGGGTGACTAAATTGAAACAACAAATTGAACAAATTTTAGACTCAACAGAAAAGTCAGGTGACGTGAAATAAGGGTAAAACATTTGATAAGGTAGCAATAGCTAAATCAGAAGTATGTAAATAAAAGATGAGCAAAAGAGCCCCGGTGAAGAAAATCTAGAAAAACATCGACACTTAATTGTAAAATTGTCCAGTCTAACAAGTAACATTCAGAATATTTTTTTGTTTCTACATTTGTTTATACTTAATATCATTATTATTTTGGTGAAAAATCGGGTAAAGCAAGATTAAGTTGCATGTATTCTAGGAGTTAATTTTCTGGTGCACTATAGACCATGTAAATTTCGCCAGAATCATCACTTTAATTTTCATGATATCAAATATTGAAACTGAAAAATTAATGTTCTAATTCACTGTCACTTTCATGTAATTTGTATAACCAGTTAACTGATAAATCATTGTTTTGTTTTGCCACAGAGGGCGCACATCGTAAAACTACTCATGCAAATTAATGTAAGGATAAATAATAAGAATTCATGACACTAATAATCCCACACTTTATCTTAATTTCCCCCGTACACCTTCACTAATATTCTTTGTCTGTATGTAGATTGATTACAGCTACAAGTTTATTTTATCTCGCATAAGCTTGTATGAATATTGTAAATTTACCAGACCTTACAACTTAGTCAATAAATAATACTTAGTACTGTCTGTCTTCAATTATTACATTTACATGCAGTATTGTGTATTTATTTTGTGTATTTTCACCTGCAAAATATTAAACTGAAATAGAATATTCGATCTATAGGTCCATACACAATGAAAATAGCGCCACCATCGGTGGAGGTAAATTTCATACTGTTGCATCTAACATTGACAGCTCGCTGGAAACAAAGACAATTTTACGTTCAATTTGTCTGGCGATTTTAAAGTTTGGACCCCCCCTATAAAAAATCCTGTATCCGCCCGTGTCACGGCGTTATGACGTCATGACGGTGTTGTGGTATTCGACACGAAAGTACGAACGCGAAAGTGCTATGCACATTTGATGATGGTCAGATTTGATGAAGTAAGGGTAAATCAACGCCATATTTCCTTCTAAAAAATCGGCATTTCGACAACAAACTATAAAAAATAGGCCAATGGCCTGTTGCTCAACGGCTATTATACACAGATTATTGCTGTATATGACAAATACCCCAAAAGGCAGTGAGTGAAACAATAAAACATAATGCTAAAAATATTTTTTTCACAAACAAAACAGAAATATTCAATAAAATTACATTCAAAGATAGCTTAAAAAGAACTCCAGCGTGTTGAGAGAATAACATAACATGATATTTGCAATTATCTGAATTCGTAATACATGTATATACCAAGTATTGTTGAAATATGTTGAATGGTTCTTGAAATGGCACCCAAATAGCTTGAATTTCACTAGCTGATATGCAAATTATCTAATTTCCACCAAAAACTAAATATATCTGGAAACTGCCCCAACACATCTATGCACCAAGTTTTATTAAAATATATTAAATGGTTCTCAAGATATCACCAAAAAAGCCTGAATATTGGTATGTAAAATGACAAAATATTTGCTAAAAATAGAGAATTGAAGATGTCAACACAAAATGAACAAATCTGATAGAGTATATACCATGCTGGCTTGAGAGCAATCGGACTACCAGTTTCGGAGAAGTCGAAAATAGCATTTTTGACCAACAAATATTCGCTAAAAATAGAAAATTGAAGATATGGACATGAAATGAACAAATCTGATAGAGGTCCACCCAAGGTATATACCACGCGA